TTGCTTCCCGTGTTGTGTGCTATGCAATGTCTTTTTATTATGTATTGATTGCTTTGTGGAATTTACAATTAAACACTTTTTTTTTTAAAGAAACAGCAAATAAAAAATATGGCCTATGTTTGAGATTGAATTTTCACCTGTAAAGTGATTGAGCTTTAATATTCATGCGTATATTAATGTAAATGTACCCACATTTTGTTGACACCATTAATTTTCTTAATTCGTAAACTTATATTTATTTGTCAAAATAGAACGTAAAAATCCTCTTTTCATGACATCATGGGATTTAAAGATATGCACATCCACGTAAAAATCTAGGCAACATACTTTCTATTCCCCAAAATATATGTACCTAATGGGGGATAATTATTTATCAAATTCATTACTTTATTCTCAGGCTATCTTGAGCTGCTTATGGAATGGTGAAAGTATCCAATCCGTCCCCAAATCAATCCAACTGATTTAAATTTAAAAAACAACAACAACATAATAACACCATCAACGGGCTTGTAGCCCCGTACGCACACAACCTAACATGTTATGCATGTCACTGATTTTAGTTCAAATTTGTATGTCCCAGATCCCTCTTACCACACACTCTTTCATATTTTATTAAAATTAAACATAAATATAATTCTACGCATAATGCCGTATATTGAAATTAAGTTGTTTTTTTCATTTAAACATTGAAAACTATACCAAAATTCACATCTGTCACATAATATAGTGTTAAGATATAAGAATCAAAATGAACACGTTGCAACTTTGTATGGTTTGTTCTTATTTGGATGATTGATAAGTCAATCAGTGAGTGCTATTTGCCTATGAAGTGTCGTTGCATTAATTCGCTTAAATGGCATTTTATTCGTACAAGTATTTTTAAACATTAAGTTTTTATTACTTTACAAAAGTAATAAAAGGATGTTTTTGGAAAAAACAAAAAGTAAAAAACGTATTAAATATAAAATACAAATCTAAAAGTTCGTTTGTTTTATCAACAATTGAAAGGCGAACAATTATTTTTCAAAATTTTAATTTTAATAAGAGGAAAATACATTAACAGTTTTATGGCACGTGGTTATTAAATAAAATAAAGTTAAAACTTTTTATTTGCCAGTTAAAATTTTGCTCTTTTGAAGTTAATAAATATATTTTTTTCAATTTGATTATTGAAACTTTTAATGTAATGTTTGGCAGGGAATTTAGAATAGAAAGTTTATAAAGAACGGGGGAGGGGGCATGATGAGATCGTAGTCTATGAAGAAGGATTTTGTGAGGAGCGGCTGAATTTTGAAGGACAATGAATAATGCTGTTGGTTTTAAGGTATAAGTGAAAGAAATGTGGAAAGCTGGAGACGGTACGCGAAGCTGGAAATAATAAGACATTAGAACAAGCCAATGTGAGATTTATAACAATTTAAATCATCAAGTGGTATGTATCCTTATCACCTCAATTCCAATACATGGCCAACATCTTTTCATTGATAAAAATATATCGATGTTATTAACAATACAATCGAGTAAGGAAGAATAATGAAGGATGTTAAACGATAACGATAATCGGATTTCTTTTAATTGTTTTGAAACCAATAACAGGTTTTTTAAATTTCACACACCGGTTATAGAATTAGTAATTATCATGATAAATAACTACAAAAATTTTTTAATAAAAAATTAAAAAAAAAAAAAAATAATGCATTAAAGTACATAACATTAGTGGGCGAATCTGACCATACGTCGAGCTGTTTTAATATCAGCTGACCGATGTTAAAAACCGGTTGTGACTGGATTTTCTTTTAATTGTTTTGAAACCAATAACAGGTTTTTTAAATTTCACACACCGGTTATAAAATTAATAAATAACAAGAAAAAAAACTACAAAAATTTTTTAAAAAAAAATTAAAAAAAAAAAAAAATAATGCATTAAAGTACATAACATTAGTGGGCGAATCTGACCATACGTCGAGCTGTTTTAATATCAGCTGACCGATGTTAAAAACCGGTTGTGACTGGATTTTTTTTAAAAAGTTTGGTGTGGTGGATGGGGGGGGGAGTGGTTGCCTTCTTATATGGCTAGCGATGGATATTAACATGTTGGCAGATCATAGCCTCCCATAATTTTTTATCCCTTAAATAAAGAAAACTTCAAAAGAAAGGGTTTAATCATAATAATAAGCTATTTAAAGTATATGAAAAAGAAACCAAAATTCCCCAACCAAACCCCTATCCCCTCACACGAAATAAATGCCTCCGGGGGCGAAAAGATTAACACTTATAAATAATCACTAATTACGTGATGATTAATGTCAATAAAGCAGTTCATCGGTGAACGCTCCTTCTACTTCCACGGGCCCTCGTTCTGGAAACAGCTCCCCTTCCATATCCGTCATTGTGAAAACTCGTCCACTTTTAAAAAGTCCCTTAAAACCCATCTGTTTAGGTCCGCCTATGACCTGTGATGCACCCTCCTTGCCCTGCCTCATTTTCTGTCTCAGGTTGATCCTGTAGTATAGGCCAAAACGTGTCAAAGTGTACTCTTTTTATAGCCATTTTAATTGTTTCTATAGTATAGTAGTTACTATCCTGGTGTCTCATTTTTATTTTACTTAGTTTACATGTTTTTAATAATTGTAAAGCGCTTAGAGCTTTAAGGTAAGCGCTATATAAAAAATGCCTAAATAAATAAATAAATAAATGATTTCTACGCTAGAGAAATATTTAGATGTCTTGTGTTTAAATTTGTTACAATTGTAAAATTATGTTTATTACGTGTATTGATTTGTATGCTGAAAATGAATATGTAATCTGTTATAAAAAACTCATTTCCCTTTATTTTGACCACGCTATATAAATCCACTAAGAATAATAATAATATCATCTTAAAAAACAAGCTGACGCATTTCTTGTATAAAGTCAGCAACATAAATAGTGGTGCCTCGAAAATAAAAATGCATTAAAAAACATTGTGTATAGCCGATATGAAAGGTAGAACTTAATAATATAATCGATAAAGATAATCAATACGAATGATACCCCACTACGGGTGTTCCTTTGAATTTAGAATATATTATAATCAAGTTTTAAACAAAAAATGTATAACAATGGAACAACGATTATAAAGCTGTAACCAATTTTTAAATTAATTAAAATAAAATAATTGTATAGAAAGTGTATTTGAATTTATATACCGGTATGACTTTTGCCCTTCGACATTTGGCACAAATCCAATTTTTCCAAAGACATTTTGCTATAGACATTTTTGTTGCTGATCTAAGCGATATAATCGATTTCTTGAAATGTGTTTGAAATTGACATTGCTTCAGTAGTTGCGTTTGAACAATGTTTGTTGTGGCGACACGTTGAAATCATGACTTATTATCATGGCCGTGCGAAGGGTGGGTCGATGAGAGCGGCCGCCATGGGTGCCAGAATCGGTGGGGTGTTTAACATTATAAAGGATCATTATGTGTTATATATATAAAGTGGTACCTTGGTATACGTCTGCTTTGGAATAAGTCCAACCTTGTACACGTCCTTTTTGGACGAGAAACATTTTGCTTGGTATAAGACCTTCGTTTTTAAATACTACCCTCGTGCGTGCTAGAACGTGTATGTTTCAAAATGACACATCGCGCAACGAATAGGATGGATGCACTCTCTTCAGGCTCTGAGGTGAAGGAGGAGATAGAGGAAGCTCCTACTTCATTAATCAAGGAAATATTTAAATTGCTAAATGGATGGATGTTAAAAACTTTGCAGAGAAGCACTCCCCCCTCCAACAAAGCCCAAACAAGTCGGAATACCATTGTCTGGAATGTACAGACAATGTCACATTTTCGAAACTTTCTGAGAAGAAGTCAAAATCAAAGCTCTTTAGACAGATTTTAAGTAAAAGTCAAACCTGGTGAGCCTCAATCAGGGTCAACTAGGTACACAAGAGACAGAAAATAAAAACAAACAAAAAAAGCAACAGAATGTCCTTTTCCTGAAGTTTTATTGGAAGCGAACTCTCCTTCAAAACAATAACATCTCCACGTGAAGTCAGGAAGAAATCAACACTTTAGAGATGCAGAAGTTTTGATTTTTCCCATATAAAGAAATAATGATGTCGCAATAAAAAGTTCATTAAAGGTTATTTAAAGATGAGAGTTTTTTTTAATTTTATGTAGCTTATTGTTAATAAAGCATCGTAATAAAATATCTTTAAATGAAATATATATATATACATATAATAAAAAGATATAAATATATATATATATATATATATATATAAATATATACATATGTATACATCTATATATATATACATATATATATATATATATATAAATATATATTTACATATCTACCGGTATATACATATGCATATTATATAGCTATATATATAATAATAATAATAATTAGTGGTCTTTTATAGCGCGGTACCCCAGCCTAGGGCTCGGCTGACCGTGCTGTACATAAAAATATTATCAAAAGAGACATAATCATGACATTAAAATCAAATTATGAAATAAAGAACAGCCTGAAGCCCAGGACTTTAACAAGACTAACCATGGACGGCAGCCAACAAGATCATTTATCGGTCAGAGGCGTGCTGGTCAAGCACAGCGCGCAAAGCACCGTCTAGGGTTTCCAATGTAGGGCAGAGTGCGGGGGACACTTATATATAACTTATGAAGCGCATCGTTCATAAAATAAAATGAAAAAAAAAATCATAATCAAATGTTATTTGGATAATCGAACAAATTTATTTACAATGACGACGAGTCCAATGACACCAAGAGTCTGATGGTTTTTCTCCTAATTTATTTTCACATTTAGTCATGCATTATTATCCCGAATCCCTGTTGTAATCTGCTTTAAAAATATACAAGTTGCTTTATTTTTTATTAAAATTTAGAAAAATGTATGCAAAAAGATCAGTTTTATTGGTTTATACCTTAAAGTCTTAGCATGATTGTTATATAAGCGTCCTTTTTTACTTTCATTTTATCTTTTCCTGGTGAACGACCTTAAGCTGACCCCATTTCCCCTGAGTTATTATTTTTGGTGTCTTACTACTTGTGGTCTCCTTTGGATCTCCTGGACAAAAATATCTAAGGCCTGTTTCTTGACTCCAATTTCGTAGAAATTTGGAGAAAGTTTGAATCACAATTTCAATGCCTAGTCGTTCTGGAAAGATCTAAGAAAACGGCTATAAAAAGGAGTGTGATTGAATCATACAGACCAGTCAGCCACGCGCAGCAGACATTGAGAGAAAGTTATTTTTTTAACGTCTAAGAGGTTTGTTGACAGTGTGTGTGTGTAGACTTCTTTTCATAATCGTAACAATTTTACACATTGTGTTTAATTCAACATTCAACCGGGACCAGCCAAACAGTATACTGCAAGTCGATAATTTTAATTATATTTCTTTTTGAGTTTGTAATTTATTATTAACTTAAAAAACGTATTAATTGTAATTAGCTCTGGTTTAAGCGTCGCATTCTCTTTTACTGTATTTATTATGTGGTATCGTCTTTTTTTATGTACTGCTGCAGAACGAGCCATACAATTTATGATTCCTCCATACAGATGAAGTACATAATGAAGTACATGATGAAAAAAGCAAACAAATATTTAATTTTATAAAATGATATCAAAACCACTATTTAAAAAAAAAATAAGACCTTTGTTTTCTTTTTTCTATCTTGGCAAATCATTCAGAAAGGCATTAAGTTTAATCTAGGAACTACTTCCAGGATGTTTTATAATACCTATTAGTTCATTTATTTGTTGTACAACCCACTTACTACTTTTAGAACTTTAAAATGGAAAGAAAATGAGATGCAAATCAGTATTTCACAAAATTCTCGTCATTACAATCATGTCCTCACCCCAAAACCCCTCGACACAAAAATGTAAATAAAAATAATAATGATAAGTTGAGCCCTTAATCATGGGCTTTATTTCCCTTTTGACTGATCAGGGACTTTACCCAATCACACACAGCATGACTATATGATGTGATATATCCTTAGAGCGTCAAGCACAGGACACCACACCAACAAAAGAAACAGGCATAAGCTTTCATAGAAATATTGATCCGGGTCTTTAGGATCAATATGTCTCGGTATTAATTCAATGGCGTCTAAGATCCTGTTTGGAATTCCTAGAAAATGTATGACTCCAAACATGTGGCACGCAACAATAAGATTGCTTGAGTCTATTTATAAAGCTGATGTGGTCTGATTTCTCGAAAAAAACAACTAATCTATTCGGTAAAGTCTAAATTAATTAAAAACAATCAATACATTTTACACAGAAAGAAATAATACAAAGTAAAATGTTAAATATCAATGTTTAAATATTAATTCCTCTTGTATAACTCGTTTTCCCTAATTTAATCATTTACATTACATAATTTCATATATAAAGTTTATAATTGCTATATTTTTTTAACTCTGCAGATTGAATTGATTTGGAAGGGAGGTACAATTAACTCATGGAACGTAAGATAAGTAAATATTAGATTCACTTATTAGCGACTAAGAATTTAGTCATTAGCCATTTAATGCGAAACAGTTTTGAGGACATGGTAACATACTTCTTTAAGGGGAAAACACCACAACACTGCAATCATTCATTAGGCCAGGTACAAAGATAGCGTTAGATGTATTAATCAATAATATGGATATTTAAATAAAATAGGCCAACTCCCAGGTAAGTGACAACATATAAGGTGAATAGGTTCATACAAATTTGTTAAAAATTGTCGCTAAAGATCAGGCGTGCCTTTGTTGTCTTTATAACAAACAGCACATTTTCAATTCCATACGAACTACTGTTGTATACACGAATCGAAGGCTCCGTTAAAGTCTAAGGGTAACACTCGTCACAGAATCAGCGACAACAACAGTTTATAGTTTCTTACGGATCTTTATTGCATCACTGCTCTCTGTATCTTCTTCCTTACACACTCAATGTGCACACTAACAAACTGCCAATCCAATAAAAACGAAAACCATTATTTACCATGACCAAAAAAAATCACCAATACAAGGTGCATATAAAACAGCTACACAATAAAGCTCTCCACACAATACAATGACTCACTTATCAGTATTGTAGTAAGTTTCCACATTAGATCTGACGTAATCGCGAGACCTATATATATTGGGAATTTGCACCTGCAGTTATAAAACGGGCTGTGTACAGTAAGTGTCTTACAAAAATCACGCTTTACTAAACAATGGGCTCAGAAGACAATTAGTTTTTGGCCACGGAGTTTTAAAAGAGATTTTTATTATTGAAAAGTTTGTTTCGTAAATGTAATAATAATTCATGTTTGTTAAAAGGTAAGTATAGCCTTAGACTTTGAGCCGTTTTTTAAAGTTTGTCTCATCTGTGTAACTACCCATTATCACAAAACAACGTGTGCCACGGATGCTTTCATTTATTGAAACGATTTGGTGAGACAGTCCGAGGACTATGATCCATCGTATGTTGCTGACAACATTATGAAATTTCGATTGGACAATTCAGAAAACAATCAGTGATGAATTCATCATATCAGTTTGAAAAAAAAAAAATGTAAAGCGACATCAATGATATGAATGTAATGAGGTTTGGATGAACACAAACTCACTCGCATATTTAAAGCTAAACATTTTCAATCAATGCATTTAATGTTTGGTAAATTAACATAATTTGAGGTATATTATACTAAAAAACAATCAGTTCAGAAATTTGGGTAAAATATTTGTAATAAATCATTCATAAAAGTTAACTTCAATTTATTAGTATTGACATAATAAATGTCCCATGAAATAGATAACGTCTTTAAATTTGTAACATTCCTTAAATGCATAAATTTAAATATGAGATTCTAGCAAAATTAGCAGTGCAAAAACAATACTTTTAAGGGTAGGTTTGAAATAAGTCTTAAAAGGAAGGAAATTCTTTCTGATGTTTATTCAAAGTCATCCCATGCCTGGCCATGACAAAATACTTTATCACATACTACATTATAAATTTCATGTGGTTTTTTTATATTTTAACCTATTCAAAAAATGAAACCCACTTTGTAATACAAGTTACAGTAGGGTGTACAAGTATGTTATGCCTGTTGTTGTGCAAAACATGTCTACAATGTTAAAAAAATCTTTGCACAATTGAAAATATTGTCGGGGTTTCTTTCATCTACCTCTTGAGGGGAGGGGGGGGGAGGGCACTGCTTCCCGAAGAAAGTCGAGTGGCCCCTTCTCCAGGAGATTAATGTGTACAACAATACAACAATATAACGATTATATATATATTTTTCAATCAGTAGGGTGTACAAGTATGTTATGCCTGTTGTTGTGCAAAACATGTCTACAATGTTAAAAAAATCTTTGCACAATTGAAAATATTGTCGGGGTTTCTTTCATCTACCTCTTGAGGGGGGGGGGGAGGGCACTGCTTCCCGAAGAAAGTCGAGTGGCCCCTTCTCCAGGAGATTAATGTGTACAACAATACAACAATATAACGATTATATATATATTTTTCAAATAAAAACGATTAAATTGCAATTTTTTTAACTGTTTAAAAAAGAATATTAAAAGGTGCCTTTAAACGAATACAATTATTAGTTGAATCTATGAAATATCGCTACGTTCGATATATTTGATGAGCTGTATATCTATAAGGTCAATATTTCTAAAGGCTTACATTATTCAATTATAAAAAATCGTACTGGCCGCTCCTGATTATGAGCCGAAATCTTAGTTCCCGTTGTTCACACTTATCGGTATTTTTATTCATTAATTTCTTTTTATAACACGCTAATAAACTACGTTTACATCAATATCAAGGTCTACAACTCTAATAATAGTTCTAGCAAAGTATCAAATATACGCAATCTATTTTCAAATTATATGTCATATAAAAGAATAACTTTTATAGTAGGTATAGTGTTATTATTATAGTGGTTTTATATAGCACAGTAACCCAACCAAAGGCTAGGCTTACTGCACTTCACATAAAAATCAGCAATTACAGAAAATTATACGTTCAAAAACAATAATTGGTGAAAAGCTTCAATTCACCTACCCAAGACTATCTACAAATGTCTAGCCATGGACAGCAATCAGCAGCATCGAACGTTGTTCATCAGCTAGAGGAGGGGTTAGAGAATGAGTCAGTATCGTAGAGTTTTGCGAGATGGGTCTTGAAGGCAGTTTTGAAGGCTGGGATGGTCGGCATATTGCAGATGTGTAATCGGAGAGATTTCCATCGTTTGGAGGAACAGATAAATAAAGAACTCTCATCAAATGTTTTAGTGCGTGTTCTGGAAACAGAAAGAGTACGTGTGTCTGCAGAAGAACGAAGCTATAAATTGTGAGATGGCGTTAGGCTTTAATTAGCATATGTTGAGTTAAATGTATTGAAAACTTAAAATAATTGAGATATATTTTTTTATTCATTAAGGATATAACGGCGCATACAAAAGATGCAATTGGTAATTAATCTGAAAAAATTGTACAGTAGTATGAAATTCCATAAGCAAATTTCAATCAATTGAATATTGGGAAATGTCTTCTTTATTCTAAAAACACTCTTGTCTTCTTTACATAATAATGGCGTTCATATACGATGTATAAGAATGACTAGTTTTTAGAACTCATAAAAATGTATAGACCTTTCTACTAACCAGTTGTATTTTGTGTGTGTTTTTACTCTGGTAAAACTTTAAAATACTTAGCAAATGTTATTATTAAAAGTGAGTTGATCATTATAAACATATTTATTTTTTTTTTATTCGAGTTCAACATATAAAATGATGTTAGCAGTGCTGGAAACCTTTTTTTTTCTTTTGAAAATTCACAAACTATGTATAATGAAATTATGGATCACGATATATAAAGAGCATTCCAAACGTGTTTTCATTTATTTAGATCAATAATATAAACGAATATATATAATATTATATCATCGATAGAGGGTTGCTTATCAGACAGAAAATTTCAGAGAGCATTTTTCTCCATATATTTCAAACATAATTTTTTTACAAAAGTGAAAAGAAATAAGACACATGTAGGGGATCGGCCTCTCTGTTATCACAGCTAGCATGGTGTTTTTGTGGTAAGAAAGAAATTTCAGTTTTTAGAATGACAACAAATGCTCACACCTTGATCGAAACTTCCTTGCAGTTATAACAAATAACCAGAAATGACATCAGAAACCCGCACTATTGAAGACACTCACTATGAGCAAATGTTGACTTGTTGCCTCGGCCGGCGGGTTTGGCACCCCTAAACAACATTCAAGGTAAATCACAAATCGTTTTAAAAATGCAGTCTATAAGTTATTGCTTATTTGATAAAGTTCTATAGATTTAAAAACAATCTTCATTTGTCTGAATGATTTAGAACAGGGCTGCACAAGTGTAAGGCTTTCCGTAATATTCAAAACTTGCGCGGGCTGAAAGAAAATAGGACGAGAGATTTAGTAAGAAAATCATAATAATGCCAAATATTTTGTTACTTCAGGGTCCAAAAATTGAATGCTGGTGGGCCGCATGCACCCCGTGGGCCGTATGGTGTGCATGCATGTCTTAGACCTTACACTTGTCATTGTGTCCTTTAATTATAAAAGTAAAACAATCTATCAGCAAATTAGTTTAAAACTGGATGTAAATACATTTAACCGCTTCAAAAGCCCTAATGCAGTGGTTTCAAAGTGGGCAATAAAACCAATGGAACAATGGGATGGCCAATTGGTAGGGGGGGGGGGGGGGGGGGGGGGGGGGGGGGGGGGGGAAGGTTGAAATGTTCGATTGTATCAGAGGGAGTAAGGTGGTGGCTGCACACAAGTGACGAAGTAATAGAGAAAACAATTTCTTTAGCAAAATAATATTTAACTCGTAAAAAAAAATCTAATATGGCAATATAAAATTAAATGCAATCTAAATCAGATTTTAAACTATTTGTTTTGCAAGTTATGTAAGGTAATGCCTTGACAGAAAGTGTCATCATCAGCTTATAAGGGGAAGTTTTTCTCGCAATACTTTACTTGACAACTTGGTCCGCTAACAAAAATATCATAAAAACAAAAGTTTATTAAAGTCTTTTTTCTGCTTATTGTTTTTAAAAATGTTTCCTCATGCATTAACTATTCATTGCGTATTTCATTGCCGAAAAATGATTGCTAAAACACTCAGAAAATTCCCCACCCCCTTTCCTTTCTTCCCCAACACAACAAACAATTAAAAACCGTTATTATAGCTTTTAGTTCAATTATTTTTTGTGTGTAGGAAACAAGTACGATTTTGAGCATTTTATGCCCATTATTTAAGTTTTTGGAATTTCCCTGTCTTGTTAGTAGGTCACTTTTAAATGCTATTTCACATTGGTTTTTTTTAGACATAAGGGATTTTCGAAGGTAAATATGCTAGTGATATTGAAGAGAGCAGCTGTGGACAAATGAGCTAAAAATATAAACAGAAAACAACATATACTTTTTCGATTGCATTGATAATACAGGTCTTCATCATTGGATAATAAGAGCCGCACTAGATTGATATCCAGCCTCGGGTGGTGGGTTTGGCGGGTAAGTTCAAACGTATCTTCATTAACCAATGAATAGTTTAGTTTATAGTCTTAGATTGACTTAGGCTAATACATTTAATTATTTATTGATTTGAAAAATAAAATAAAATTTCAAAACACAAAAGGAAATACTATTAAACACGTATAGAATGCGCTAGAATGAGACACAGAGAAATAGGGATTCAATTATGGGCACCCGCACGTAGGGGCAAGGGGGGCTCTTGCCCCCCACCCCCCCCCCATGGGGAAAGGGGGGCTCTTCCCCCCCCCCCCCCCCATGGATTGATTGGATAAAAAAAAATTTGACAAAAATAGACAAACAATTTATTAAAGTAAAGAGAAAATAAAAGAGAAAGTAACTAAGCTGATGTCCTGTCCGTTCGTTCACCATACAAATACGCTACAGTAAATTAAAACTATATTAAAACATTACTAAAATATGTTTGCCCCCCCCCCCCCCCAGAAAGTTTTCTGCGGGCGCCCAGGGATCCAATGATATAAATATGCCATGGTCCTTCAAAACGAATTACGTGTATATGCAATAAAGTATGTTACGATATTGAATGTGATTAACTAAATACATTTAAACAAATTCATTTCTCTACAGGATAGCTATTTTGGCCATGTTGTTAGCACTGACGAGCTTGACTTTAGCCGCAAAAAATATCAAGTCAAGAAATACAACAAAAGTAAACTTCAATGTTTTTACTTTTTAAAAAAAATATATTTGAATACTCCAAACATGTCATTGTAGTTTCCAACGTACAGATNTATATATATATATATATATATATATATATATATTTGTATATTATATATATATATATCGATAGTGCATGCCTATCTCAATATCAAATTGTACCTACAATATATGTTTGAATCTATATTATTTGTTTGTAACTATCAATGCATTTTTTAAATGTTTTTTTAACATATTTTAAAAAAAAAATCTTGAAAATGTGTTCATTGTGTTTCCTTTTCCTCCTTTCAGTTTACACAAATAAACGGAAAGAATGTTATGACTATAAAACTGTTTTCCCTATTGGAAGAGGTATTTTAAAATACTTTGAAAATTGTTTGTACATTTTGATTAAATTCGATATGAAAATGAAAAACTTGTGTTAGCAACAAAATAAAAATTGTTTTAGAAATTTCTTAATATAATTCACTTTATAATAAAAGAATTAGTTGCCATATTAATCCCAATTTTGCAATAAATAAATTTACATATGAAACCTAACGATTTTTACAGATTTTTAAAGAAAATAATTTGCAACATGAAAAAGCACGTTTTTATATAGCTTAATGTGGATATTTCTATTTAAATTACTAATGAATTTCTTCCCCTGAGATTAAATCTTGGAAACAAATCATCGACTACCAGTTACTAAGAAAACTATACATTTACATTTATTGTGTAATATCTCTAATCTTATTTGCTTTTTTATGTAATATTTTTAATGATTAAGTTAACTTAAATTCCTACATATTATAAAACCAATTTTATTGTGTGTATTGTTATTTTTGTTATATTTATAGTTGAACTAATTTTTTTTTTAAAGATACAGTCTTAATACTTTTTTCAACAATATATTACACAATATAGACCCTTCACATTCCCAAAATGTGTAACTTCTCTCTTGTGGCTGTACATAAAAAGTTGAATCAACCAAATGTTTTGTCAGGACAGGACAATGCAGGTAAATTTAAAGTATTTTAAGCCATGGAGTGATAACATTGCAGTAGTTAAATACCGCCGACAACAATGGATATTTCTTGAGTGTTTTACTGTCCTCTGCTCTCTGTGATATGTTCATTTGTCCTGTGTTCGGAAGAAGGCTCTATGCCATAATGTCCTAATCTTTTTGTCCTGTTCTCTAATTGAAGCTTCCACATACCTCGTTTTGATATTTCATTTACTAGGCATGAAGCAGTCCTTTAATTATTAAATATTTATAATACACATGTTGGGGTAGTTTTAAGTTTGAAAGTCCCTCGTCTAGTATTATAATGGAGAAATGCCATTGGAACCATTTTATACTGACCGAGAGAAAAGAATGCTGCTTAAAAATATTAGGTATCTTTTTTAACTTTCTAAAAACATGTCTTTTTGAACAGTATGCCATTCTTAAAAAGCCATTTTAACCATGTGTTTGATCATCTCTAATTGCTACTTCCAGTTACTATTTGGCTATTTTTTTCAATTATATTATCGTATCTAAAGCACTTACTAAATATACTTAATGTCCCAATAATAAAAAAAAAAAACCCAGAGCAGTAAGTACAATTGAAACTAAGAACTAAAACTAAGACCATCGGTGAACGCTCCTTCTGCTTCCATGGGCCCACGTTCTGGAACCAGCTCCCCTTCCATATACGTCATAGTGAAACCTCGTCCATTTTCAAAAAGTCCCTTAAAACTCATCTGTTTAGGTCCGCCTATGACCTGTGAGTCACCCTCCTTGCCCTACCTCATTTTCTGTTTCGGGTTGATCCTGAAGTGTCAAAGTGTCCTCGTTTTATAGCCATTTTCATTGTTTCTATAGAATAGTAGTTAATATCCTAGTGTCTCATTTGTATTTACTTAGTTTACATGTTTTAATAATTGTAAAGCGCTTAGAGCTTTATGATAAGCGCTATATAAAAATGCCTAAATAAATAAATAAATAAACGCCCAAACCAAAATCTTGACTTTTATAAACGCATCACAAATAAATAAGCGCTATTTATTGTTTGCCTAGACGCAGCATTTCGGGCAAACCTTCCCCCCATCCTTTTGGGCCTGTCTTTACTTAACACAACTATCACGTCATAACAACTTATTTACACGCAATCCTTTTATTAGCTGTCACGGGATATTTTTTTTTATATTAATTTTATATTTCATTTTAAGCAAATCTCAGAATACATTTAGAGAAATGTGTTCAACACATCAAGATTTGTGAATAGAGTTTAGCCCCTGAATATGGGCGCCTTTGATGAATAGGGATGTTATATTACCTTACCCGCAGTGCTTAAAGTCTAGTCACATTGACCATTTAACAAAACAAACCAAAAACAACAAAAAACTTTCTTACCCTAAATTCATCATTCTGCACAGCTCCCAAAACTAAAAACATACCATTCGACAAATAACAGAGAGTCTTCAAATAAGGATAAATTAATAATGAAAGAACATTGAATCAAAGTTTAGACTTTTTAGATTTAAAGAAAACTTAATTATTGTTTGTTTCTTTTTAGGACCAGTGTTCAGTCTAACCGAGCATTTTGATACAACATTGGATGAAGAAATGAAACATCAAGAAATCGTTAGAGGCTCTCGAATTGTTCAAAATGGAATCAACATTCAATACACGGGTAATTGTTGTCATTTTTTTCAGGGAACTTTTTATCAAAGTCATTTACACTATTAAAAAAGTACCACAATATTCAGTAAGTCTTACATGTTGTTTAGCATTTTCTTCACTATAATCGTATCTATGTACAATCAGTATTAAAAAAACAAAAAAATTAACATATTTTATTCATTAAAAATATTCATTATGTTATCTAAATCATTAACGTTTGACACACACACGCACACACACACACACACATATATTTATGTTTGTCAAAATATATCATTTATGCCCATATATGGATTTAACTGACAAGAAGATGCTTTGAGAAAAACAATTAAGATATCTTTCAAAATCAGATTATGTGTATTTTTGCTGAACGTCGCAATACATTTTTAAACAAAAATGTTTTTGACATCAGGCATAGATATAATGTTTGCTAGCCACTTCAAAAAATAAGGATTCATGTTTTAAAAGTCTATTACTCTGATTGTATAAAATAGTTATTTTACTTCTATTTATTATAGATATTTGCGATGATAAATAACAGCCATAAGTACAGATCAATTCAAATTTACCCCGATATTTAACCTTATGACGTAACTTATTTACACTGTTATTGGCATGTTTATTATTTAGTTTCATTATACTACCGAAAATTACCCGAGAAACAATAGCGGCAGCAATGCATGAACTTCCCATCTACTGAAGTTACTTGACAAAACAAGGACTCAAGTAACGCACTGTATAGGACTACAAATTAGTGCTTACTTCCCAGAGTTTTATTGTTTTTTTTTTTGTCTTTTGCGTACCAGCCATGCATGCATACATAGAGAATTAATATTTGTGATGAATTATTTTTATTCAATATATTTATATTTGCTATTTAAATAGGTTTGTACTACATCTACAGCAGTCTAAAGTTTGCATCAAATGTGACGGGGTCCCCAATCAAACTCTCTGATAGGGTAAACCTTTAAGTAAAGAAATAGGACAATTAACAGATGATTTGACACCGGTATATTAGTTATCATGACATAAAAGAGAAGATGTTGAAGCATAGACACCATTAGCAATTATACTGCAATCATTGTATTTCATTATTTTCATCCCCAGAGCTGGTTTCATTATGTCCATAGAATAAGTCCTAACAGTCCAATGAATTCTGGAGTCCTTCTTCGAGCTGTGCACACCATCTGCCCACAATGCAACAAGAGCCAAGAAAGCACTTACACAGGTTTAATTTCAGATATATTTAAAAGGAAAGTAAATTGCATTTCAAAATGAAGAATGCTAAGAATTTATGATTCTCAAGAGAATTATTTAAAAAGAATAAGTTGCCTAAAAAGTTAATGTAATGACCATTAAATGTTAAAATTTCTTCTTACTTAGGTGGAATATTTCATCTCACTAAGGGAGACACCATTAAAGTCTGCCTGTCAGGATTAGGAATAGCGGGATTTTCGGATGAGTCGAGCTACTTTGGAATGTTTATGTTGCATAGTGAACCTGGGAAACCTTAAAACTGTAGAACTGAAGAAGAATCAAACTTTTGTGTGCTCATTTATTTAATGATGAAACCTTGTAATGTTGTTTAAATTTTACCAATGGACTAGATTTTAGATTAATAACGAATTATACATAATATCCAGACAAATGAAATTGTTGATGTTGTAGTTATGTATATTTCTTGTTATTTTGACAGTTATACTGTTTGCTGAAGAAAACTCGTTGCCAAATTTTTCTAATACGCTCGAATGAAAGTGTTTAAGTAAAGATAAATTAAAATACATTCGACAAGCGTTATAATGCTATTAAAGGGCCTTCAACTTATTAGATATAAAAACATATGGCATTATTTACACGCCTCTCTACCCCTTATAACGCTAGGTAACATTTACATTAAATACCCCTTTAATCTTGTAATAACTGTGATAACTCACATAGTAACATAATGAATTGTCTTGGATAATGTATTGCTCTCGTAATTTAGGGTTTATAGGAAGTAACAAAAAATGGATAGGTAAATCGCAGAAGTACGACAAGATGGATGCATGAGTAGAATTAAGTGTCGATTGGCTGAAGCAAAGATTTAATGTACATCGCACAGCATCATAATATTTATCAAACAAATCTGAGTGAATTATATGTGTGATGTAAATAAGTCAATGACAATCACGCTTTATCAAGTTTAAAGGGGTTTAATTTGTACTGTGTCAATATTCAGTCAATAAACTTGTGATGCAAAATTCATGAAGTTTTACCTCATGCTCTCAAGTATCATGGATGATATATGAAGAGTTGATTTTCAAAACGCCGTTTCTCAATTTTTGGTGTTTTGAGACCTACGACTTTTTCTGCTACACATTGATGGCTCAAAGTATTTTCGGAAAAGTAAATGTTAATTTAGGTATATATTCAAAATATAAGTTAGATTATGATGAAAATTGAAATGTAGGTTCATTATAATGTATTTATTTACTTAGTTTAATTTCTTATTTCATTTCAAAATGCTGTGTATCCAGCTTTTACTTACAGACAAAATGCTGTATATCCATTTTGATAGCATAACATTATTCCCAGTAGCAAATATTCAAATTGTTTATAGATTACAAAACATTTTAATAACAAAATAAAGTTAAATAACATCATATACATTATATAATTGTGTATGACTATTGTTTTTTTTTATTGATACATTTTAAAAGACCAATATTATGAATGCTGGGAAGTCGCTTGTAATAGTGTAATGTTTAGAATGCTTTAAGTTTGCATGATTGTTTTTATAAATTTGAATTCTAATCAAAAGTAAACAAGATAATGTTCAATTCACAAATCATTTTATTTGAATTTAGAACAACGACAAAATAGAAAATTATCAAGTGTCTGAGTCAGAGTGTGCATCATCTTCAAGAGCTGTTTGGTTTTATTTCCAGGAAAAGTTTATGCATCGTATTTACATTCAAATCAGATGTCAAATATTTATATCCCTGAGCACCCTTTCTTCTGTAATGGCCGGATCTGCATAGAAAAGATTGAATGTGTAATAAATAACACAGCCTAACTCTGTAAAGCAACTTTTTATTGTATTTTCATTAACACTTCTGATGTGTAGTAACCATGACCATAAGAATAATAAAAATGTAAATTGACTTTTAGTGCTTTTTTTAATAAAGTTACCGGTAACTCACCTTAGGCAGAACCCTTTATCGTGATTACACGTAACCGAGGGGATCTTTCCTCTGCTTGAATTACGAAATGATTTTTATTTTTCTCGTGTTGAGCTTTTTTTTCTTTTTTTTCGAGATTTTATAGCACAAACAACTCATTCATCCAGGCCGTCGTTATGCGCCGTGTTTGTTGTTGTTTCCCGTCGTGATGCGCAGAATGCCGCAGAATCGCTTGACGATGACACGGATTAGTCCGAAAAGATATACGTCATTTGATAATTTAACAAAATAATTCACACCGCGTTTTAAAAAGAAAATCATTTTTAGACATATAATAGTATAGTATTAAAATGTGTTTTGTACATAAACTTTAACATGTCCTAAAGGAGCCTTGTTTGCTCTACAAGAATATGCAGTTATCTCATGGTTTTTTTTCAAAAATGGTTGATAACGCGTTTTGAAAATCGACTCTTCATATGAATTCGGATAATTAAGTCGGATACAACAACTTTATAATACATCAACCTTACAAGTAACAGAATTTATTAAAATAACTATATTTTTGTTACAATATATTTTTGAATAAAATTTTCTTAAAATTCATCAATTGTAAATCAACTCAGTCCTGTCCTTAAAATTGAAATTGTTTCTATTATGATTGAATATACTGAGCTTATTGAAACATATGATTTAAAAGTGTATAAATTACTAGAGCTAACTTCAATCGATAAGCCACAGTATGTTTAACTTGTTAGTTCACTACATAAAGCTACCCCATGAGTTTGATTTATGGAAAAATATTATTGATTAACCAGCCCCATTCATATATAAGATAAACTTTTTAAAATTGTATTGCACCTGTAGTGTTGTAAATGTTGGTGTATATAAATATATTAAATGATCACATACAAGACAATTATTTAAAAAATAAAATACTAAAAAAGTGTTCTCATTACCAGTGACCCCCAGTAATCAAGGTTAGTTCGTAAAAATAAACTCAATAAACTTTAAAATTTTAATTAGTCACATAACTATTTTAGAACATTTAATTATACAAAAATAATACTAAATCCATCAATGTTTATACACTCTTAAACAACATTTTGTGAACCATCTAATAAAATTAAATATAATTCAAATTATCACCATTTTAAAAACATTTCAGTATATAACAAAAACACTTCTTAAAAAAATCATATTAAATTATAACCCAAAAAGACCACTAAATCAATAAAAATTTTACACCCAAATTGACCCCAGACATAGAGAACTACTCAAATAAACTTAATTAAGAGTAAAACCCAACAATATCACAAATAATAAAACAAATTACACAACGAGAGCACTCATTAAAATTGCATATTAATTTATCGCACTATAAATAACCAATAATTAAACATCCACACTACAAGAGATTTATTAAAAAATTAACTAATTAAATATTTAACACTCAATAAATTAATTTTTAAAAAAAATTACACAACTAGACATTTATTGTAAAATTTATCACACACTAAAAGTAGATTATTAATTAAAATTTAATTAAAAATAATTATGCCCCCTTAATTACCTTAACCACCCCACCTAACCCCCATCCCCATTACGCCTAGAGATTCCTATCTTTTCTTTGTGCCCAAATAGCCTCCAAAATAATAATAAAAAACAACAAGTATACCACCTTTGTGTATTGGAGGTTTACAGCTGGTCTGGTATTTGTGGTAGTAGCATAACTATTTAAAATATGTATCTGCATCTGTCCTAAAATGCTGCAACACGATATAAATAATAGATTTTCATGGGCGAACCGCCTTATGTACCCCCTTTCCAACCCCGCTAGGTGGTGATTTAAAATGAAATATTGTAAAAACAGCAAATTAGTTGCAAAAAAAAACCCCAAAAAGCAAACAAAAAAATTTAAAAAAACACCTATTTGTGCAAACTAGTTTATCATTTAATGAAACAAATAATAGCGTTTTAAAACTGCATTTTCTAAAGGTAACAAAATGGAACACTTTAAAAGCAGGTTTTAAAGAAAACTAGTACGACCACTTGAAAGTAAAAAATAAATAAATCACAAGATACAACTTAAGAATGAAAATAACACAGTTCGTCTTTCCGCTGAATCAAAAATGTTTGAATCCAGTTAAAAAGCTGTCTCATTAAACAGAATAATGAAAAATGAAATCCAACATTCAAGTACACGGAGGAAGGTTAGGAGTGGTCAACATCGTTTTCTTACCTTGACAGCACACTGTCCCCAAGGCGTAACCATCGACGCCGAGGCTTACCTCCGTACTGCAAAAGTGAAATATAGCATATTTAAACAATCATTTTTAGTGACGCATTTAAAGCTATTAAAAGGCATGTTTACGTGAAGATATTTTGTTACAGCTAATAACCCTGCCTTGCCAGGGAATGTAATTCGGCAAAGCCAGTTCTGCAGCCTTAAAATAACATTAAAATTACGCACCATCTAAAAAAAACAACCAATAATTTAAAAAAAAAAAAAAATTCTTTGTCCTCTATAGAAACACATTTATAATAACTTTAGTAAAGCGTGTATTCCGCAAAGGGGTCCTGATCCCAGAGAGATACGAATCGGATACTAATCGATCTTATTGGTATTTCGAACCTGTTGGTATGAAGATCACGGTGGGGTCACGACCCCTATTGGATTATGATCCTGGTTGAATACCGATCCCGGTAGCATCGAGTTTCCCGTTAGGATTCAGATCCCAGTGGTATTCCGATCTCAAGTGTGCTGGTATTGCCTTTTTAATTCTTTGGAGGAATTGGACACATTTTAAAAGGGCGTTTTATTATTTTTTTTAAAAATAATTTAATGCTGCGTAAATAAATCACAAAGTAGCTGTTACGAAACGGTTGCCTAGAAACAGCACCCCCCTCACGTGATGTATCATAAAATCATTAGTTTTCGCTGCTAGTACCGACCATATAGCTCCTATTCATCAATGGCCACTTGTAAGCATGATGCAATTACATTTTGAGATCATGCTTTAAAATTGACGCTTCTTTGGTTAAAAGAAATGATTACCTTAAAACAATTTTTTTAAAGTACATTTAAATTACACCACTCATTGGGTCAGCTAGAGCACATAAAAATTGATATTTATTATTTTGATACGTTGAATAAACCATACTTTTTTTTAAAAGAACAAAATGTCATTGTTTTTGTTGTTGTTTTTTTTAATAAAAGGATAAAACGATCACGCATCGTAAAGATTTTTAAAATGTTATAAATGAATTTTTTAAATATTATCCGTTCTTTCTTATGTTTCATTTATGTTATGCTTAACATACGATAATATACATAATGTTTCAAAGTATAATTGTTTGTACATTTTAATATGGATCAATAATCTCTGCGTACCTAGCGTTAATTAACTCAAGTCTAATAGTGGACAGATCTAACCCTCCTCTGAGCGATAAACGATCCTGCTGGCTGCCGTCCATGGTTTTCTATGTAAAAGTTCTGGGGTGGGGTGGGCGAATATACATTAGTTTTTGTTGTTTTTGTTAAACGCTGTTCTTTATTTCATAAATGTATTTTGTTTTAATTTAATGATTATGTCTCTTTTGCTAATATTTTTTATGTACAGTGCGGTATTTGGACGGGATCTGAATACCACAAAAATCGGGATCATGTCGGGAAACTCGATCTGACCGGGATTGGGATTAAACCGGGATTTCGTATCCAATCAGGATCGCGAATCTACCAATATCAGAAAACAAACGGGATCGGGATACATTTGGGGTTGGGTTCTAAACGGAATCGGGTTCCAATCGGGATCAGGATGCAACGGAATTACGATGCAAACGGGTAAAGATTCTTCCAGGTACCGAGATACCATCGGAAAACGGATTTCTTCAGGTACGAGGATCTGATTGGGATCTCTCTGGGATCGGGATCCCATTGGGGAACGAAAGGTTAACAAAAGTTATTATACTTGTGTTTTTTTTTTTCAGACATAAGAATTTGTTTTTACTATTTATCTGTTATGTTTTTTTAAACATGATCCTTAACTTTAATGTTAATTAAAAGACTATTTAAAAGGCCGTAGAATTTGTTTCCCGAATGCAATATCAGGCAATGCCGGGTATATTGGCTAGTATATTATATACACACACACACACATATATTTATATATATATATATATATATATATATATATATATATGTATATCTTTGGAGCAGAATTCTTCATAGCCTTCATTGTATTAAAATATTGTTACTCATAATATCCAATCCATTCAGAGCCGGTCTAGGGTTTTCCGGAAAGTTTGATACTTTAAAAAGGCTAGATCTATGACATTTTTGAAACCGATTTTAATGGCACAGATTTTTAATAATTATTATGCTATTTATCTGACGGCTCTTTATAGGGCCGCCCATCTCAAGTATTTCTTAAACGGTATCTTATGGAATGCCCCCCCCCCCCAGCCGCTCTATTAACGTAAAAAAAAGGTTTATAACTATGACAGTTATGGTAGACCTTTATCTTACTCGAAATATAATTATGTAGTCAAGTAGTTTTTACATGTTTCGAGGAGGTTATTATATTTAATCTAGAAGTTTCAAAAAAAGAGCTTTATTCTTTCCACCAGATGTATAGCGGGATCTAAAAGCTTTTTAAATTTTAGTTTAGTTCTGTTCTTGTCTATGCTGTTCTAATCGTCGTTGCTACACCGTCTTATTTTCTTTTATAATGTATGTTTCATCAGGACCAAGATCCCGCAAGAAAATGGTATCCCTATGTGGATTGGAACAATCCGAGGATCAGTATGGCACTGGTGATCAATTTCACGCCGAGAATCGGGATCTATCAGGAAACTGGATCTTATCAGGTTTTGGATGCAAACAATATCCCAACACCGATGGGATCGGGATACTGATGGGATCAAATTCCCACCAGAAAATCGGGATCCCGTTGTATTCGAATGCCATTGGGTTATGGATCCTACTGTGATCGGAATACCAACGATTTTTGGAACCCATCGGGATTGGGAATTCCACTGGAATCGGGATTCCTCAACTAAAGAAGATCCCTCTGGGGGTCAGTATCCCATGGGGAAATCAGGTATGTTATTTCAGGTGTTTCAAAAAAAAAAGGGGGGGGGGGCAATACTTGGTTGGCTTGTTAAGTTGTTTGTTACCAGAATCGCCACAGTAAATAGCAGTTCAAAAAGAAGCCGCAAATGCAGTGGAGAGGGGGGTGTCGCGAAGTGATTCTTCTGTATGGCCACAGTCTTTCACTGCACTCCGTTCAGCAGCACACCATACAAACAGTCACCAATGCAACAAACAGCAACCGGTTTGTTGTAAACGAAAGTTTATTTATCACTACTCGATGAACAAGACTTGATGTATAATTTCAGAATTTGATAATAAATCACTCCAACCAAATATTAATCAACATACCAATCCAAACACTTCTGCCAGTATATTCCCCATCAATTCTCTCAGCACAACACTTAGCAGTATTCAATCCACAACAGTCAATGTAGCACATCCGCCATCACTCTTCTCTAACCACAACGAAAACTAACGCGTCACTTCCCATTACACAATTACGT